GGGGCGGGGGAGGAATGAGGATAAGCCAGTATTTCAGGAAAGGGAGCAGCTTCAGCAAAGGCTCCAACGTGACCGCTGTACCTTGTCTGCAGGGAACACCAAGGTGAGCGGCCATCAGAGCAGAGAGCGGGGCTCAGTTGGGGGCAGCAGGAACTATAACCAGATCACAGGGCAGGACCTGCTGGGGAGGGCTCGCATGCCAGCCACCGTGGCTGGACTTGATCCTACAGATGATGAGACAGCGGATCAACCGACGCCGAGTTCTACCTGGGGAGAGAGGCAGGATGAATCCAACTGCAAGGCTGGGCTCCCACAAGCAAGGCCACCTGCCCCAGTGGGTGTGCTTTGCCTGTCCACACCTGCGGCCTGGAGCCAAGCTGAAACATACACACATCCCACAAGAGGAAGGAGCCTCGGACCTGACCCAGCTCCCTGCCTCCTGGTCCGCGCCTTTTTGTTTGGGTTCGTTGCTGTTACTGGGGTTTGTTTTATTTTGTTCTTCCTACGCTTGGCTAATATTTCTCTATTTTCCAGTTTTAAAAAGATATTTCAATGAATTTTCTTTTTTAATCTGGAGATCGGAAAGAGAAACTTACAAGAAGGTTGTGGAGAATGTCAAGGGGGGCAAGGAACAAACGGGTACTTTTTATTCCTTTTCCTCTTTAAGCTGGTGCCGTTGTTTGGTGGCGATGCTCCCAGATCAGCTGCCCCTCCACAGTCTATCGGCTTAAACCGGTAGCAGCGAAGGCTCGAGATGTGGGCCACGGCCTGCGGTGGTGAGCGGAGGCGACAGGGTGCCCATCCCAGGGAGCCGCTCTGTCAGGCACCCCGCCAAGGAGGTCTCCTCCAGAGCAGTGGGGTTCCCTGCTTTCCTGTGAGGTGATGGGGGGGTGTTCTGCCTCCAAGCCCAGCTGACCAATCAGACCTAACATTTCTCTTCTCGAGACTAAGAACCAGCTCTCTGGGGGGAAGGTCAAAAAAACAGAAACATTATAATCAGACTTTGGATCTGCTGATTCCCACCCCACCCCTCTTACACACACACACACACACACACACACACATACTAACTATACCTAAATTTTACAGTGGTTTCCCTTTATTTCAAAGTTCAACCTCCCTGGTGCAGCCCACGAGGCTCTCCTTTGACCCCGCTCCCTGTCCCTACTCCTCTCCTCTCTCTTAATGCTCTAGTGACGCCAAACTACTGGTAGTTCCCCAAGTAAACCACACTGTGTAATGCCTCCGTGCTTTACCCCTGCCGTGTGCCTTACCAGCAACTCCCCCTCCATTACAGCCTGGTGAGTTCTCAGTCATCCCTCAGAGTCCTTCCCAACCTGTCACCTCTACTGACTGGAAGGATTCTCTTCCCCTCCTCCTCTGCCTGAAAAATTTCCACTGCCCTCAAATATCCAGCCGACATGCCTGTCCTCCATGAGAAAGAACCTCATCCAGCTGTGGCACTTGCCATGTCCCTCTATTACACCTCAGGGGACCACATCCTCCAAACCAAAGCTGGGAACACAATGTTTCATGCACACAAATGTTTTTATGGAAAAACAGAATATTTTACAGTGGCACTATCCTTGAAACCCCAAGACCTAGCATCACCGTAGTGAGAGTATTGCTCATATTCCATCAAATTGTTTCCCCATGTCTACCTTCTCCACCAGTGAGCTTTCCTGTGATATTGGTCTCAGGATGCTTAGCACCTACCACAAAGCCCAATATGTTTGATTGACAGATGGACTGATGGGTTGGTTTGTACTTTACCACCATTGTTAGTGGATGCAGAGTAGTACTGGGAGGAGGAGGAGAAAGGAACAAAAAGAAGGACACTCCACCTTCTCTTTCTTTCTCTCTTTACCCCATCCCAGGAGAAAGTGTTCCTTCAGTGGTCATGTACGCTCTGAAGGCCACAACACCTGTCCCACATACTTGACAGGATTATGGGGAGAAAGATGCAAGAAAGACCCAGTACCATAAAGCCTTGGGCCACATAAAGAGATGCACGCAAATGAAGACCATCCGTTAGCATGGATGGCGGCCATTTCCGAGCCATGGTCCACATTACCTTAGTATCGAGAACTGAAAGGGTGAAGGGGATGTGAAGAGAGGGCAAACCCCCCAGAGAACCAATGGACCTCTTCTGCCTTATGGTAACCCTGTAAATCCCAGAGATCTCTCCCGATACCAACATCCCCCATCCCACCACCTCCAGTTCCCCCATTACAAGTATGAAATGAAAAGTACTGGAAAAGCCCCTGCTTAGGCTCCTTTTAATTAAGCACACATACACACACACACACACAAACACACACACACAAAGAACCACCCCTGAGTTTTGTCTGTTGTACTTTTGTTCTCAGGTCTGTTTGTACTTATTGCAAAATTACATAATTAAAAAAAATAATATTAGGTAAATGCGCACATCAGCCTGTCAAGCCTGCCTGGGCCAACCTTCACTTGGGAGCCACAGTGACAGCCCCTTTTTTTCTCTTACTTGTTTTTAAGCACAAAATATGTCACACCTGGAAGTAATTAGCATAATTTTTACTAATTTATAGCTAATTACACAATTACTTTTCTATGAAAGATTCTGGAAAGACACTTGAAGTAAGTTTCACCAAATCTAGTGGCAAGAAATTGCTTGAAAACATTTTGTGAGCTTCAAACATTTAGGAGGAGGGAGGGGGAGACACCCAATAAAATAATTCTTTCCTATTTCAGAGTGTTCAAATATGACAGGGATATAATTTCTCCGGTAATGTGCAAAGAAGAATGCCTAAATGTCTCTGCTAATCCAACCCAACCAGAGGCTGCTCTAAAAAAAAGGAGCCTCTTAGAGTGCCCAGGACAGAATCTAGAAAGCACAGCTTTGAAACTTGGCTCCACAACGGAGTAAACTCACCTTGTGGCAGGATGTGACCCCTGGCAGGTGTCTTGCTCAGCTCCTGAGAAACTGGGGTTCAAGCCTTGGGGAGCCACCTGCCTCTCAAGATGACGCTCCAGGATGCTGGGACCTGAGAACATTACACTAATCACTCCTTCCAGCACCATGAGTACCTAAACTTGCACGTGTCCCAGTATGGAAATTTACTGGTTTACAAGGCGGGCCTGCCCCCTAGATGGGGAGTTGCCTGCAGGCGGAGGCTGAATTATGCTCTTGGGCTCCTCGGCCTCCTAGCACCCAGAGCAGCAAGGCCACGGGCACTCAATGAATGGGAATAAATCTGCGTTCAGTTGTTTTGTGATCTGAGGTCTGCTTGAAGGACCCCTGTGAAGGTGGGAGTGACGAATTTGGAAGATGTCCGGTTTCTGCCAGGCTCCCCTCAGGGCTACTGAGAGATTTCGGCAAAGGAATGTCCTCTGCCTCCCCCCCCCCTCCCCGTCCCCCTGCCCCACCCCAGGAGAGTAATGTGAATGGCTTACACTTAGCATATTTCTCTTCGCTTTTTCAAATTATTTTCACAGCTACTGTCATTTGACCCTTCCAAAAACCCTAGGAGGCAGGTAGAGGAAGTCCTTACCGGCTGCTCTTTGCAGGTTCCCTCATTCAGTCAACAGGTACCTGAGCCTGGTGGCCTCGGCAGGGTGGTGTTCTAGCACTAGAAGACAGGTGAACAGGATGGCCAAGGCCCTGCCGCCTTCTGGCTTTCCCTCCCCAGAGAGGACACAAATAACAAGACAGGCACCATTCTGATCCATGCTAAGAGAAAACAAAAAGCAGAGTAAACGACAGAGGTATTTTAGACCCTGTGCTCCAGGAACCCTCCCCACAGACGTTCCAAAGGAGCATGATCTGGTCATGTGAAGAGCTACAGATAGACATCAAGACCCAAAGAGGGTCAAAACGTGGCCTATCTCCTGCAGCCAGAGGATGGCAGGTCTCCAGGTCTGCACCAGACCTACCCATCTTTTTAAACTGTTCCTGCTGTGACTCCCCTCCCCTTCCATTTCCCAAGAGGAGACCTGAGTCACAGGAAAGGCGAATGCACGCACGCACACACACCTCCAGAGGAAGCAGCAGACAGACACACAGACGGTCAGAACACATGGTCAGAACAGACAGGCAGAGCACCCGCAGGCCCCAGCCCAGGCTCTGCTCTCTGGGGGTGCCTCTCTGGGGAGTGCACTGCCCCCCCGCCCCTGTGGCCAAGTGGCCGCCCCCATGAACAGTGTTTATTATTCATCAGGCACGTTGAGCCTGTTCGGAGATTTCAAAGTCAGCTGGTGGTTTCATTAGAAGCAATCAAGGAAGCTTTAGATAATTCGTGGGAAGGTTTTGACAGAGAGAATGTGGAGAAGCCTGGTGGCTCTCCCCAGCACCAAGTCAGAGCTGAAACTTCTCTTTCCATCCCTTGCCCCACACCCCCACCCCAGGGCAGAAACTTGAATACTCATTCTTTCCCCTAAACTTCAACACCTCCGGTGACTCAGGGGTCACTCGGTTCTCTCCCTCCGCTCCCTCCACAGATGCTTTATTCAGGCTCCAAATCCCTTTGCCTTGGAAAGTCTCCTTGACCCTGGCAATGGAACACTTCTCCAGCAACCTGGCACCCTTTCATGGACACATCCACAACAACGCGCTTGGTCCTTGCCCTGACCTGTGAGCTTGACAGCAGCTAGGAATGAATTCAAAAGATGGCCAAGGCAGGTATCTGTGCCACGTGGGCCACACCGCGAGGAAGAGGCAGACTTACCATGTGCCTTGGAGCCTTCTGGGTCTTTGCATACGTTTTCTCTACTCCGCACTATGAACCTACCAGCAAACTATTAGGAATCCCCATTTGATTGGTAGAGAAACTAACGGAGACTAACAGTTGCTGTATCTAGGAAGATCACACGGCCACTAAGTAGCAGAGCTAAGATTCGAACTCCAGTCCGTCCGACTGGAAATCTGGTTATCTGGGCACAACAGGGTGGTGCTTCTGGCTTTTCTCGGCCTCCACACCGCAAGGCACCAGCTGTGGAACCATGTGGAACTGAACGCTTCCAGGAGGAATGAATCCTGGCCACCCCAGCAAGTGCACAAGGGCGAGGTGAAGGTCTCTTGGAGCTTCAGCCGAGGAATAGGGCCCGGAGGCGGGCAGGAGCATCTCACCTGGCAGAGGAAAGACTATTTATGGCCAGAGCTTCTGTCCTGGACAGCTGGTGACCAAGGCTGGGGCCGAAAGCTGCATCCACCCTACTGCCGGCCAGGATTCGCTAAGGAGAGCATGCCCTTTCCTGATTCCAGAGCAGGGACCCTGAGACCGAGACGTCGCAGCTGGTAGGATGACTCACCTCGGCCAACCACCTGGTTTGAAGGCTCAGCCCCATGATGCTGGGAAAGGCCCCATTAAGCTGGTGAAGGAGACCGTCTCCTCCCTGTAACCTTATTAACTTCCCTGGGATGACTTTTCCCATATGCAGGAAAGTTGGTTTCTGAGACTGGACGGTTTCTTCACATGATACTGTTCATCCCGTAGTAAAAGGCACCGTGGATTTGAAATCACAAACCAGAGCCTGAGGCCTGACCTTGCGCAGACTTTAATGAAGGGACTGCTACCTTGGGCAAGTCATTGCTCCAGTCTGTGTCTCAGGTTCTCCACCTGACCGGTGACAGGGTGAGGGCAACGGCAGTGTGGGGCTTCGGGCCCTAGGACTCTGCCAGGGCAGGCTGCGCAGGGCGGTGTTTCCCTCCCACACAAACACCGCACTGAGTTATCCGAGCTGGGCAGGTGGCAGAGAGAGAAGCATAGGAAGGGAGAAACAAAGGCCCAGCAAGATGGACAGGGACAGATCGAAGCAGGGGAAGCTCCCCAGCCAGAGAAAGGAGGAACAGTCTGGCGGTGTGGAGAGAGAATTAGAGCCCCTGATGTAAGCAGACTCTTGCCAGTATTGCTGGAAACAAATAGTGACAGATTGCTAACATGTTACAGTGAAAATTACCAACATGATGAGACTTTTGCACCATAACCAGCACCTCTTGTTATCCCATTAACAAAACCGATGAGACCAAATTGCTAATCGGAGAAAACGTTCATGTTGGATTATATTGCTCCTGTCCTGAATGCAAGCAAAGGGCAAACCAGAAGGCACATCGAAATCTCCCAAGAGCCATTTTACCTTGGACAGGGGTGGAGAAAGCCCTGGAATGCACCCCCCTCCCCCCCGCAGCTGCCGCCTCCTTCCATTGCATCTAGAAACACCCACAGACGCCACCAGCACCTTGATGATCAACCACCGCTCTGGTGTCTGTTCCCACTGCCGAGCCAGGCGGGGAAGGGCTGTGGGTCATGACAAAGAAAAAGAACCAGTGACCTTTACAAAGTACACAGGGTGCACTGGCAGGGCTGGGGGGGCGGGGGCGGGGGGACAAGTGGAGGTGGTGCGTCTGCGTTCGTAGAGTGTTGGACTCCAGCTCACTTCCATCTGCTCCAAGAACAAACCAACACATCCGCGCTCACGATTATTTACATTTCTACCACCCCCATCTGGCCACTGCCCATTCTAGCTGGGCCAGAGAGAGCCCCGCTTCTTAATTTCATTCGTCACAGAGTTCAAACTGTCCCCTAAGCCCCGGGAGGTGTAAAGAACAGGACACACCTGGTTCTTGGAAGGATTTGCCCGGGCATCTGAAGAAGATCTTTCCTCTTTGGGCTGGGGAAGGATTTCCTGCTCAAACTCAAGGCATCCAGAGAGAGCCAGATTACGAATTCACTTTATGCGTGCTCCTCTCTCAGAAAAACGCTCCAGTTACCCAAACCTCTTAACGTCTGAGTTGTTGTTTTGTTGTTGTTGTTGTTTTCCACCGGGATAATCACTGACCACGCCAAGCTCCCGGCTGCCACCCCAGAGAGCGGGCCCGGCTGCAGGCCTTCCTACCCGGTAGTCACTCAGAGAAGTAATTGGCCAAAGATTATTCTGAGTAATTTAATGGCAAGGGTTTTTTGTATACCAAACAGGGACTTGTCTTTGTCAAAAAGTCTTTACAAAGTACCCAAGTGCTAGGTGTCAGACAGGACAAGTTTTTTAATCATGTTAAAATGATTTATTTAAACGTCAAGCCATGTCACCTCACTTCCTTTCATTTTTCAAACTGTTTGTGTTTTTTCTGGATGATAAATTTATCTTCAGACAGCCTCAATATGACTAATTAACTTTGAAATATAAGAACCAGATGTGTGAGTTGGAGAGCTTTCTGAACTGATGCCAGACGGGCTGGTGGGTTTTTTTTCTTCTTCTTCTTGCTTGCCTTCCCCCCTCCGTCGCCTCCCCCCTCCCCGCAACTCCGCATTCTCTCTCCCTGCTGGCTGCCCTGAAATTACTAAGCAGAGACACATTTAGTAAATGGAATCACAGGACTCCAGCTAGCTGTGAGCACCCACGGCTTGTTCTCTGCTTTCTACTGCTTAGCCTCTCAGGACCCCATGCTCTCCCTTTGAAAGTGACCCCAGGGCGCCTCCCGGTGACTGGCAGAGCTGTCCTTGGAGGAGGCGCTGGGAAAATTCCCCGGACCCACCCCTCCTTTAATGATCTATGGCGTGTGAGAGCAGGGAGCTGCCAGAATGCATTTGCCACATGAAAGTAAGTCACCCTGCACTATGACACAGAGTGATTTCTTCTAAAGAGTCTTCCCCTGTGAAGTGCTCCTCAGATCTGCCTCCTCCCTGCTCCCTTTTGATGAGCAACCCCATGCACAGCACAGGAGGAATGAGCAGGGGTGGAAGCTGGCTATTAAGTCTCTCAACTCCCAAAGCCACAGTGCTTTTCAGTTAATGGCACATTTGGGGGTTGGAAGCCACAGATATGTGTGTGTGTGTGTGTGTTTCATTCTCAGGGACAGGACGGGTGACAGCAAAAATGAAAATTCCTCTTTGCAGGATTTGTGCAGCTAAGTAAGAGACCTGAGTGGAAGGCATGAGCTGGGTACCTCAGTTTCCCCGTGTAGCTATGATGGCCTGCTCCACCCAGTCTCTCTACCAGAAGTAGGTTAAGGTTATGTGAGATCACAAATGGGAAAGTGCTCTGAGTACTTGGAAAGACATGCACACATCCTAAGGGATTATTAGGATAATTACCGCTATTATTATATCATCATGACCAGTATCATTAACATGCCTCTTAATGTCTGAGATTTTTCACCTGGGATAATCTCACTCACTCGCAAGGTCAGTGGAGTTCCTCACGGTGCCAGGCTCCAAACAGTGGGCTTGGTTCTTTTCCTCCTCGGGAAGAATGCCAACAGAACACCTTCCCGGGCCACAGAAAGGAAGCTGCCCCACCTGACACCTCAGACTCCCTGCTGCTGGCCGAGAAGGACTCAGCCACTGACAAACACCAGCACTTGTGCTATAGGGGGACAGAGGGGCCAAGGGGACGTCCCTTCCCTTCCCCAGAGAGCAAGGCAGATGAGAGGACTGGGACAGCGCCGGCTGCCCCCCCACCCCGCCCCCCTGGATCTCCCCCGCTCCCCACTCTGGGGACAGGACCAAGATGCACCAAGCAGGTTGGACTCTCAAAAATATAACAAGGTAGAGGTGCCTGGGTGGCTCAGGTCATGATCCCAGGGTCCTGGGATCGAGCCCCACATCGGGCTCCCTGCTTGACGGGAAACCTGCTTCTCCCTCTCTCACTCCCCCTGTTGTGTTCCCTCTCTTGCTGTCTCTCTCTGTCAAATAAATAAATAAAATCCTTAAAAATAT